AAAGAGGAAATCAAATCCCTTTTGTGTCTGTTAAAGGCAAAAATCTGCACTCTGGTAGGGAGGGTGACAGGGAGCTGTACTATACTGCAGGTTTGTACAGCTGTAACTGGGCAAGATAGTGAACTTGTCAGACACTTTGGCCTCTGAAGGACAGAGAGGACCCTGTCATAGAAGTGAAATTTTTTCCTCTTTGTGTGTTGCTTGTTAAATGCTGTAAACTAATCCTAGAGTGTTTATTTTCTTTAACAAATAGCTGTGATATGTGGTTGAAGAACATATTCCTTAACCTATTACATATAACAGATAGAATTCTTCAGCTCTCTGTCATGTTCAGCACAGTGGGTTTTCTTTATTATTTCTATAAAACGTGGAAAACCGATCCTGGATATATAAAGACTTCAGAAGAAGAAAGAAAAGAGGTAGGTGATTTCTTAAAGACAGTGGAAGGACTAACCAGGTCCAGCACACATGTGGTTGTGGTTGATTTGTTTGTCATCATGTGCAGCTTTGGTTAAACTTGAAACCAGTGAAATATTCTTCCTTTAAGAGCTCTTGGCAATATTATTGAACTAGATCTTGGACAATTCCTCTCCTACTGCTTATTACCTTATCTTCCATCATCTTGCCATAATTTCCTTGCCTTCATCTTCTCATTGAAGCATGAGCTTTGACCAAGCATTGTACAGAACTAGTGGTGTTATCTGTGATATAAATTCACATAGAACTTCACTTTAAAAATGTAAGTTTCATGTAGTTTCTGCTGCAGTTGTCTGTGGTTAGAGAGAGATTCACAGTGCTTTCCTACAGTTCCCCAGGGTCCAGTTTTAACTTGCTGCCTCAGGAGTTGTAAAAGTTGTCTATCCAGTACTCATAAAGGGACAGTAAAGGCAGCAGCTCTCCTAATCTCCCTGAAGTCTGGCTGACTGTAGGAGAGGTGTCTATATCTAAATACCATCTCATGTTAAAGAGTATTTAAGTCACGTTGTTTGTTAATTCTGTCAACACAAATTACTTTTCTGAATGATCTTCCATGGGTGAAGCTGCATCAGTGTTCACTGGTTTGTGTTCCTTGTGGACTTTGTAAATAGCAAGTTCTTATTTCTGTCAGTGCTTGGCACTCAAAATCCATATCAACTACAAATGGCCTAATGTAAAAATCTTCCTAGCACCTATGAAAATATGATCCAAAAGCAAGCAGAAAATGCTTTGTCTTTCAGAACATCGTGGCTCTTGCAGAAGGAGGTTGCTTGGACTCCAGAACATTTTGCACATCATGTCTTGTAAGTGGCATTTTGATATTAGTTTTCTTAGTGAACCTGCATTTTAGTCAATACTGCTGGGAAAAGCTTGTTGACCTCTGCTTGTCAATCAAGTGTAACATGAGTGGTTTTTTCTATCTTGTCTAAATTTCTTTTGTTCTTTTATGGTGACCAGAGAGATGTTTTGCAATCCTTGGACTCTAGTCTTAATAAAAAAAATAGCTATTTCCATCTCTTCTTTTTTTGGTGGTGAAATTAAGATGTATCATTCTCATCTATGTTCTGTGTTCTGAGGTCTGTTACACAGTGATCATACGAAATATGATGCTTTAAACTTTGAGCAAAATATAGATGCTTGTGCTCTGAGTGTGTTGTTTGCCTTTATCCTCAACTAGGTAAGGAAGCCTTTGAGATCTGTGCATTGCCTTGCTTGCCAAGCATGTGTAGCCAGATATGATCAGCATTCTCTGTGGATTGGACAGTGCATAGGTGAGAGTGTGTTTTGTAAGGTTTGAAAATACATCATCCTCTAAAAGTTGCAGATACGACATTTATCTCCTTAAAGAAAGAGAGCACACGTGATACAAGAATAGCCTGTTGATATTGAAGGGCTCTGGTAGATGCAGGAGTGAAATTACTTGGAAGAGAGAAAGGCAAATATTACTAAAGGGTCACCCTAAATATTACTAAGTGGTCACCCTAAAATTAGAGACCACAAATTATGGAACTTTCTTTTGAGAGAGGATGGAACGGGGGATATGATGGAAACTTTAAAAAAATCAAAGAAAAGATGAAGATCAAGATTGAGGTGGTGACTACAGTTATTGCAGAACTGTTATTAGCCAACCACATCCTACTAGAACTAGGAATTTTAAATTGGTAAAGAAAAAATTGGTAGGCAGTGAAATTTTGGAGTTTGCTGCTGTAAGGATTTGGAGATACAGCAGCATTAGAAGCTTCAGAAAGGGACTGGAGAAACTTCTGGACAATGTGCTCAACAGGAGATACTAAAAGAACTAGACAAGTGTGCACACTCTGACATTTTAATGCAATAGCTGTGGATGAGGGGAGTGAACTCTAGCAAGTGGCCAGGCCTGTGTGTCCTCTCAAACTTACACTGCCTCTTGTCACTGCTGGAGACAGTGCTGAGTGGAGCAGCTGGACTGCTGAGATAACACCCTGGGGCATTATTCATGTCCTTGTGTTCTTTCTTCTCACCCTCTTTCTTCCTTTCTGTCTCATTACTGGTGATGCTCCAGATAGGAAGGTCAGAGCTTCATATCTGTAACAATATATTTTGAGCATAGGATTTTTTGCCAGTAGCTTTTTTTTGGTCATGTTCAGTGCTTGGAAATGTATTGCTGTTTCCAAGGTGGTGAGACATCCTTCTGATGCATTGTCTCAAAGCTTTGAGCAATATGGTTGTAATTTAAAGAAAAATAATTTTATATCTTTCTGTGACAGTTTCTCTGATATAGGTGTGAGGTTTTTTTTTTGTTTGCAACTCTGAAGCACACAAGGTCAAATTAAATTGAATAGCTCAGACTTTTCAGTCATATGAGACAATTTTACTGTGCATAGGGAGAGTTGTGGTTGCATAATTAGTCCTCATCTAGCTAAAACAGCTGAAGGCATGCTCTGAAGAGACAAATCCTGGTTGACTTGATCAGAACTAATTCTGTTACATAAATTGGGATGGCTTACAGGAGAAAGTTGAGAGAGAGATCAGCCTTGTCAAGCTCTCTTGTGGATAGCAGAGGTAATAATAAGAAGTGGTTTTGACTCTCCTTTTATTAACTTCAGGGAAAATGCAAATACTGCTGCATTTTAAAATGTCAAACTTGTTTTTATTTTTAACTTGCCTCACATTTCAGGGGTTGGGAACCATCGTCCCTACATATTGTTCCTGACTTTCCTATCAGTGACTGGTGTCTGGCTGCTTTATGGAACTCTCCTGTGTATGTATCCATGAGTTTCTTTTCATTTAGTTTTCAAGTACATGTGTCTTTATTTTTCAGCATTTCATTTCCAGCAAGTGTAATTTTACCTGCACAAGGGATATATTGTGTAATTCTGCCTTGAAGTGAAAATGCATATCTGAGTCTTTGGTGCAGTATCTGACTACATTTTTGTTGAGCAAGAGCTCAGGTCCAGCTCTAGTGGAATGTCCATTGGAAAACAAAACAGCATTTTGGTTAGAGAAGAAATAGTGAAGCCATGTGGGAGATATTACAGGTCCTAATCTGGATGCCCTTTATTGGAATAGAAAATTAGTTTGTAAATACATTATTGCAAAAGCTTTATTGATTTTGTTACTTGGAAATATCTATAATGAACACTTGCAAGCATTTATTTTTTGTTTTAATGTAATGATAACTTTGAAGAGAAGAGAACTCTGTATCTCAGTAATGAATCTGAACTGTTACTTTGAAAAATTAAGGAATTTCTTAGAGGGGAGAGAAGAGCCCTTATAATGTAGTTTCTGGGGATGAATTACCACAGCACTAACCTTTTAAATAGAAAGCAGAGGAAGTTCATTTTATTTTATATTACTTGAATTTAATTCTATTACTTTTCTATTGAAATGAGCCAATATTCAGCAATGAGTGAAATGAACCAGCTATGGCAGTGGAGAACACAGATACTCATGTGAACATGAGTTACCTTCCTGTGTTTGAGTGGTGTCTTCTGTATGAAAAAACATAGTTTCTCCATTTCTTCTGTGTGAAGGAATGTGGGAGGAAAACCTCTTTATTGCTCTACTGACACAGAGTCAAAAAAACAAGTTGCTCTGCTTTTAGTTTGAGTTTGGTTTGGGGTTTTTTAATAGGTTTTAAGTATATCAAGAAATTTGCAGGAATTGGACATTCCAGTTTGCATCTGTTTAACAGTGGTAGAACACTCTGTTCTTGGAGTTGTCACAATCATCTTCTGTTGTTGGTGGCGGTTTAAGAGAAATGATAAATTCTCATCCTAAAATTACAAATAAGCATGAAGCAAAATTGCAGAAGTCTTGACAATGAGAGATAATGACATTTCTCTGTAATATAAAATTAGCATAGCCTGTGCCTTGGGTGTTCCTTCTGTGGGTTATGAACACAGAATGTAAGGATCATGCAGCAACAACAACAAGCAGTCAGGTGTCTGTGTGAGTGCTCTGAAGTGGGTGTGGGAAATATTCAACATGGTATTTCTAGAGCAGGTTGCTATGTAATATTCATTCCATGCAAATAACCTTTGTTCAGTTCTTAAAAACATGATTGATTGATTGTGTATCTTGTCAGATTGGTCCAACCATTGTGCAACAAGTTACCATCAAGATGGAGCATGGACATACTTCACCCAGATAGTGTACTGCTCTCCCTGGGTTGCTTACATCTTCACACTAACCTGTTTCCATACTGCTTGGGCCTCGTTGTCCCTCACTGTTCAGCTTTATCAGGTAGTAATTTCCTTCAGTTTATGTTTCTTGACATGTTAAAACTTTTCCGTAGATGATTTGCTCCCGTAAAAACTTTGTGTCTGCTCTCCTTGACTGATGACTGTCACAGCTAGTGCTTCTCTTAAACCCCAGTCCTTAAAGTTTCACAGGTACTTGTGCACTCAGCATTCCCCTGTTAACAGTACAGTCTGCAAATCATTTCTATAACTCAGTTCTGGGTTTCCTACTCATCAAAAATGCCAGACCTATAAAAAGTAGTGTTTAAAGGCAAGAAATTTATTTGACTAATACAAACTGGGTATTAGTGCCCCAAAAATGGCACAAAAGCTCAATAGCACAATTAGTCCTGAGTTGAAAATTCTGTGGCAGAGCTCAGCAGGGTGTTATTAGATTGTATTAAATCCCATTGCTCCAATAAAAATATATGACCTGGATTTTCTCTTGTTCAGGACTGTCAAATTTCTTGTTTATATTTTTCTCAGAGAGAGCTTGGCTATGCAAACAGAACTGAGAAGAGCTGTCTTGGAACATCTAGGAAACAGCTTGTTTAGCAGCTCTTAGGAAAGATGTGCCATTGGAATATGTGTTAAGCCTACTGAGCTAAAGACTTGTTTTACAGCTTGTTTAGTAATAAAAAAAAAACAGCTCCACAATTTTAAACATATACTGCTAGATTTCTGCTATGTCCAAGACACTGAGATACCATGCTGGAAATAAAAAACAGGATCTGGGAAGGATATTTACAGTTAACTACTGTTTTGTACACAGTTATTTGTAAATGTTCTGCTTTGTGCTGTTTAGTGTCCTTCAGTGAAGGACCCTTGCAGCTGTTTGTGAGGGCTTGTAAAAGTCAAGTTGATTACAAAAATAAGAAAATGGAAAAAGGAATAGGCAAGCAAAAATGCAGAAAAACTCATCAAGTTCATTGTTGAAACTCAGTGGAAGAAAACACAGAGTTGAGAAGAGGGAAAAGTTATTGTTGACTCTCATATGTACTTCATGTTTTTTGCCAAGCTATTTTGTTATTTCTTCAGGGGATTTTTTTTCTATCCTTTTGGGTGGTAGAATATAGACAAAGTCTGAGGAGAATAGGTTCTTCACTGAGATAGATCTTACCCTTCTGCAGACATCTGTGAAAGCACATTCCTTACAGACATCCCAATTAAACTTCCCTTCTTGGTGGCAGCACTAATGTCACAGCTTGCTAGGTTCCATCCTAGCCCAACTGACATTTAAAAATGCACTTTTCAATCATCAATTACAGCACTAGTTACTTAGTTGTTAGATGTGGCCAATGTCTTCCCTTGCTCTCCCTTCTCATTAGTATCTTTTGGTATCACCAAGATTCTAATTTGTGGTGTTCCAGTTTCAGCCATTCCTTATGTTTTCCTTTCAATCAGATTGTGTTCTTGGGCTTGACCTCACATGAAAGAATGAATCTCCTGATGCAGAGAAAATCTTCTAAGCATCCTGTTTCCCTCAGGAGGACTCCATACAAGTGGGTATTAATGAGTAGTGTATTTTAAGCACATATCTTGTTCAGTACTGATTTACTTCACTGCTTCATAAGTGCAAAAATGTTTTGGTCTATGGATGTGCTAGTCAGGCCTGTTAGGAGTTGTGCTAAGGAGAGAAAATGAACTTTGTTTTCCTTACTGAGAACTTCTCTTGCCCTTGGAATTAAACAGCCAGCATAAGGGCTGCTGGGGTTCTTTCTGCATGGCTGTGTGTTGAGGAAAGAGATGTGCCAGAATCAGTCCATAGCACTAATCACTAGACACTATTCTGGGGCTGAGGGAGAGCTGTCCTTGAATTTGTTCAGCAGTCTCTGTTGTGTAGGATCAGAAGGAGAATTAGGGTATGTACTGGCTCCTTTCTGAATGCACTTGCAGTGTTTAGCTCAGTAGAGAAGTTAGTACCAAGGTTTCCCTGTTTCCTCATGTATGCTCACAGATGAGCTCTTACTAAGTATTCACTTTTAAATATTTGAGTCAACTTCATCTACTCTCATTTGTTAATGGAAAACAGGTTGTAAAAGTTCAACAAAGCAGTAATGTTTCTCCCAGAGCTGTCTTCATTGGCAGGTGTATACTTAAGTACTGTCTAATGGTGAATGTGTATTTTTGATGATTGCAGTCTTCTCTTTTTTAGGTTTATTAACACATATTTTTCTCCTTTTCAGTCTTGGATGCTTCCAGAATCTTGCAGACTTTTTTCAGTGCAGTTGCTTTGGTCTGTTCAAACCCAATGGAATTGACTGGACCAAGCAATACAACCTTTTTCACCTGGCAAAGGAGAAAAATGTTCATGCTGTGTAAAGTTGTGCTTGATTTCTAAAATGGTTGAGCTGATAGCTAAATAAAACTGGATATTTTTCTTAATTTTTACAAATTCTTCTCAAGTGACTTGTTTTTATTACTGTTTCAAATCTTAAACTTATCTTGCATAGGCTACAGCAGGTTTGGATATGGAACAATCACTGTGTGTCTATGTGTATATAGTTTGAGCTGAAATTATTTAAAATTTTGTGTGATGAGATGACACTAAGAATATATTTTTTCAAGGTAAGTTTTTAGGGCAGAATTTCAGAACTCTTTGCTTTATCTTGCAGATAATCAGACATTTGAGTAGTAAGGTGAATGTTCATATTTGTAAATTTAACATTACAATTACATTGTCATTTTGTTGCTTATGCTGTGAAAACCTCTTAAGTCATTGTATTTGAAGGGTTTACATGTAATAAAATAGAGATTTCTTGCTGCTAAGTGTATTTTTGCAGACTGAAACAGACTCAAGTGCTATGTGACCAGTGAGGTATTTAAGAACAGGTAGGCACAAAACCACAGGGAAAACCCTGATTCTTTGTCTTACGTTTTACCTATTAGTGTATGAAAATGGGTAAGTTCATGATGGAAAATAGCAATGCACATAAAAAGAAGGAATTGTTCCCAGCTGCAGGCATAGATCTGTAATAGCTAATGCCATCCTTGTTCCTAAGGAAAGGCTACAAAGTCAGTCTGGAATGGCCAACTGGACACTGTGGTTCCAAATATAAATCAAAGTAGGTAACAATGAAAACCAGCATGGAAAGAGATTAGAAAATTGAAGGTAAATACAATCTAGAACTGACAACACAAGAGTAAAGCAGTGTAAGGAAATGCAATGCTGGTAGTTAAGAACTAGGGGATTTTGTTCATCTCGGTGAAATCCATTTATCTGTGACACTGCAGAACATAAAAGCACATGCAAATTCAAGTAAAATAATGTGAAGCAATAGGTACTTTATTGCAGCTCGAAAACGGACAATAACAAAACTTACAACGCTGTATTCTGAGAGAATGTTGTTTTTCTTTAGAAATACCTCCCTGTGAGAGAAAGAATTTCACACCCTTTTTGATTGTCTCAAAGTGAATAACATCTACTTTTGCCATAACACAAAATGTCAACATGTTCAAAACCCAACTAGGAGACTGGTAGAAATACAGACAGTGTAACATGGTGAACAAAGGAAAATGCAGCCTGACTCGGACTCTGCACTCCATCAGGTATCTCTGCCTTCATGAGCCACTATGCTAAGTCTAAAATTCCAGTCTAAAACGTGGTAAAATCCTAGTTTTAAGAAGCAATAATGTTCCATGAGGGTTTTTTTTTTCTTAATTCACTGTAAAACAAACACGAATCTTGTTTTATCACTGTACCATTTGAAGCTATTCTAACAATTCCTTAAGATAATAAGCTCAGAAATTTTTCCTGCAAGGTGGAAAATCTTAACCAAATGCCCTAAGTTCTTAGCAATATGTGATGTTTAATGTTTTACTTGGCAGTTATCACTTGGTGGCATCAGCAGCAGTTGGA